CACAGGTAATCCGGGAGCATGAGGAAGATTTATCCTTAAAGTGAACAAACTGAAATCAGTCAGTTAAATAATATTTAAACCAGCCTAGTGCCAATTCTTTTAATTCTTACAAACAATATCTAAGTCTTTCTAAAAGAATATAATGATCCACTGTGTCACCACAAAGAAACTATAACTGTGCTTTGAGAACTCATCCTACTGAACAACTTGGCCACATGGCAACAACTCATGCTTCAGAAAAAATGCAATCTACAAATGATGTCTGCGCCTTTTTTTCCCCACAATTGTGGAAATTAGATTGGGTTTTATTTGTTCTCCCTGGAGGTAATTACTACCTCCTCAGCATGTCAAACATCTGCATGTGCCTGATACAGAGCTACCATTTGACCCAGGTGTGTTGAAAAAGAGAAATAACTAAACCATCCCGGGCACCTGTTCTTAACCCTCTCCAGGCAGATGTTGCAGATTTGCAACAGCCACATGCCACTTAGCTAATTACTCCACATCCATATTTTAAGAACTGTTGTTACTCAGCAGTACAACAGAAGGACTTAGTTGTGCATTTGCAACAAACAGTTTCTCTCCAGCTCACCAGATAGCACTGCTGACTCACTTTCAACATGGCTGAGTCCTTGGTGTCACTGAAACAGATTTTCTAAGCACCAATTTCATATAAGTATCACTACCAATTTCCATTATTTTGAAATCAATACTACATAAGACAAATCATGAATGTGTATAGATATGACACATGCCAATTAGTAGATTTTATCTCCTCTGGGTTTTTCACCAAAGGCATTTCGATTTCAATGTTGTGGATTTGCAACGTGTGCCCAAACAGGTACCAATGGATGCTACATGCTTTATCTACTAGTTTGCCTATATTTTAAGATGTCGGTGGAGAAAAAGTTCGAGAAAAAGTTGTCTCTAATTTTGTGAGAGAACATTTTTTCTTCGAATTTTGTTTTGTTAATTTTTTGCTTGTGACATTCAAATAAAGTTAACATTCATATCAGATTCAGTCTTCAGTGTTAATTTACCACTCCAGGCTACTGTTGCAAATCTGCAACATCCCAGAATTCATTTCAAGTGAAGGTCTCTCTCAAAAAAAAAGTCTGAATTGTATATAACTACCCCATATGATCATTTTCTCCAAATATCAGATTTTTCCTGCAGCTACAACTTGATTTGAGCCTGAGAGGGTTAAGGATGAACTTTGTGAGAACATTATTGTGGCCAATCACATTTCAAGAAATAAAAACAGAAACATTGAATTACAAAGTTAAGCTGAGCCAAATGGGAAAAAAAGACCAATTTCCAAGAAATGGAAGTGAAAAGTACAATATGTGACTAAAATGAAGTGGAGTGAAAGGTATAGGTACCCAACCCAAAATATACTCAAGTATATTTACTAAAAAGATGAACTTAAGTACACCAATCAAGTAAATATACTCTACTTCTTTCCACAAAAAATTTCAGTGGTTTCTGGTTTGTAACTACTTTTTGAGTTGGATCATGGGCATAACATTGACTGTCTGACTGTTAAGCAGAATGTCAGGCATGAAGAACAGATTAGGGGTGAATAATGGAATGTCTGTTGTGATACGATACAGGTCACGATACTTGGATTACAGTACGATTTTATCATGAAATTGCAATATTTTACTCCATGAAATGCATTGACAAAAAAGCAAGTGCTGTATATGTCCATCAAACACAGCAAAATATGGTGTTTACTAGAGTGGGGGTGCAGAGGTAGCCCATTTCCCCTAATTTTTTCACATGTATGTATTTTTTTATTAAATCGATATTAGGAACTGAAAGATAGATATTATATTGGGCAGCCAAAAATCTCAATGTATCACCAAATGGATTTTTTCCCCACACCCCTAGTGCAGATAAAGCAAGTAAAGGGTGATCTTAAAGAGATGAAAGATTAAAACCTTGGAAACAATGGATCCAATTAAATGCTGGTCTGTTTCTTTCCATTGTTTCCTTTTGTAAAATGACACTCCTGGTCCTACTGTGAATATTTTAGATTACTGCTACAGGCTGTCCATCAGAGTGTTTCTCTGTAGTTTCTTATTTAATCTTTTTCTTAACTTAGTGCTGTCCATGTCTCACTGGTGTTAATGGTGAATAGACTGTAAGACTCCCTGTGTTCTATTAGGAGAGTGGGTGGTGGATCAAGGACGCGGCAGCTGTTGTGCGATTACATTATGCACGTCTAATTGCATCACACTTGGCATTTGCCAGATCTTTGAGTGATTTATGCTTTCCATTTAGAGCAGGACAAAATATGAGCCCTTGATTTAAAGACATAATTTAGTTGTTTGTCTCAAAGCTGAGACAACAGCAACTAGCGAACAGCGGTACCTCAAACCCAGTTGTCAGCTTGAGCTCTGCTTGTTTGATAATATATTCATTGCAGAAGGCTGCAGATCTAAATATCTCATGCTGTGCCAGAAAGACACTTCCCTGCACGTTTGATTCAGGGGGAGCTTTAAAGAAATACCATGAATCCCAAACAATGTTTTAAATTGTGAGCCATCAACTCATCTGTAAAAAGAGTTACTAAAGCAAGACACATTTTCTTGACCATTTTCAAAGTGAAACCATTGAAAAAAGGATGTTTTAACATTTTATTACCCGAAAGGCACATCTCTGCATGACTGAGACAATATTAATTTCCCTCACTAATTCATCATCCGTCACCTCATTTCTCATGTGTTGACATGCTCTTTGAACCGGCCACTGACAGCGGCGTCCTTGTCGTGCTTCTCTTTAGGTCGATACCTGCGCCTGAAAATGTTCCGTGAGGATCATGGCTCCTGGATGACCATGTTCTTCAGCACCATCCTCTTCCTCTTCATCTTCTCACACATCTACAATCTCTTCCTGCTGATTGCTGGAGGGATGGAGTAAGACATTTAACTCTTTTCACCTTTGCTCCATGTCCTTCTTTAGTTTGCTTCTTCTCATTTGTTAGAATAGGTACACTTCTTTTTCAGCAGTTGTTTAATTGATTTTAACGTCTTGTTGAAGAGAGACATTCAGCCTGGACTTTTAAAACACACTAAATCATAAGTAAAAAGGGGGCACAGTTATCCTGAAGAATCACCTTTAGAGCCAGCATTTTTTTTCAGATGATCAAGTTTAATTCTTTTGACACCTGTCTGGCTGAAACAATATGTTGGGGAATTCTTTCACCTGCTGGCCCAGCTTCTTACCTGCTGGGAAACTGCCATGTGCACAGCGAAGCCTGACATCCGCACATCAGGTGCATGACAGGAATCCGTTTATGCATTTGCAGCGTGTCCATCCAAAGGAAAGAAAACATGCCCTTGAAGTCAGCCAGCCAGACAGAAGGTCAGAATGAGATGATTTACCGTCTTGCTCCTTTGGGTTGCATAAAAAAACAGCCTAGACAAAAGGTACAAGCAGTCAACAAAACAAAAGAAGCCATTGGTATAATGGAATCTGTCCGTAATGTTGTGCTTTATTTTCTTTCTCTATAATAACAAATAGCTTTAGCTATGCAGAATGTGCAGATAGATGAATGACATTACCTTACAGGCGTGTTTATATATATATCTATATATATAGATATATAGATATATATATGTGTGTGTGTGTCTGTCCAGGGAGATGTGTTTGCGTAATCAGCCCATCTGTCACTCTGACCAACTCTGTGACACATGCATCCATCTCGCTCTTTCTCTCTAGTTGGCCAGAAAAAAGGAAAGTGAAGGGGCAAGTCCACTGGGACGATGGATGCTGCTGCTCAGGAAAAAGTTACATTTCCAGTTGCACTTAGTGCTTCTGTGACAAAGAGGATTCTCCTTTTTATCTAGATACGGGCTTCTATTTCGGCTGTTAAATGTCAGGAAAAAGGAGACCCACTTTTAGACTGATAGTGGATTTCCTCTTAGAGGGTTTTATGTGGTGATACCTGGATATTCGTTAAACATAGAGGTTCACTGTATCTTCCAGGAGTAGTCATATCTCCAATACCTTTTGGTGTTAACATATATTTCAGTGTTTTCTTTCCTTTTTTTGGGGGGGTGGACTCTACACAATTTGAACTATCTTCTCTGCAGTTATAGTGGCATGTCTTTGAGACTGAAAATTTTTAACATTTTTCTTTGTAAAATAACCCAAACTCTGGCTTATTCAATAATGGAGTCATTGAGTAACAATTTTGAAATCTGATTTTCAAAATAATTTAGATTGGGACTTCTGCACTTTTGCTGCACCACTGCTGCACTTTTTAAATGGTTATGTTCATTTCACTGTTGACAGCTGTATGCATAGAAAGTTCGTTTTGTATACACTCTATGTATACAAAATGACAATAAAGTTTCTCTAAGTCTGCTGGGTTAAACTTTATACATGTCAATGCGTTAATCTAAATCTGGGATATCCACTCAGCTTGCCTTGTGATAAACAGGATTTCTCATGGCTGTCTTTTGACTTATATCTTCCCACTCTGCAATAACAAGCAAATTCATGGAGTAAAGTACATGACTAATAGTTAATTCCCCCGACATATTCTCCCACCTGAGTTGTTTATCTAAGTAGCTCCTCCAAAGTTACCCTAAGGTTTCTTGGCTGCCTTTCAGTCTGTGTACAGGTGATGGATTTTTATATCGCTTAGTGAGATGATTAAAATGTAGTATACTGTTTTGCTACTTAAAACAATACAACTCACCTTTGAGCTGTCCTTTAATGTGTGAAAACTTCTTCATAGTATGTTCTCTGACACTTTTAGAGATATAAGCCTCATTACCAAGGTTATTATCACTAGCTAAAACAAATGAAAAGACGAAAAACTAGAACTCTTAAGCATTTCTGCTAACTGAAATAGAAAAAAAAACTACACCTTGCACAAAAAAACAACCTGAAATCTAACTGAAATTGTGGTAAGAGTTTACAAAACAAATAAAAAATAACATAATTTTAAGAGAAAAGTGTGTGTGTCTTTATCATAAAGTTTTAATATGAAGTCTAGTTTCCGGTTGCAGTTTTAGTTTTTTTTTTCACTGTACCAGCACATGGCAGGTATGGCAGTCAGGTAATATGTGTTGTTGCAGCGGCCTGTCCTTATCTGAGATTTTTAAAAATTATTTATTACTTATTTTAGTCTTGCCACCAGTACGCAATTTGTATTACATAAAAGGCTAAAACTATAAGTCAAACTAATAAAAACTAAGCAGAAACTAAGCATTTTCAAAAAATAAAAACTAAACTAGCTAACAAAGAACGGGAGAGTGGCGGCCTAGTGGTGAGGGCATAGAGCTTGGAATCCTGGGGTTCTGAGTTCGAGCCCCACTCCCACAGTCTGCCACTCTGACTCTCTGAGCAAGACCTTTACCCAACACTGCTCCCCAAGGGGATGGGTTAAATGCAGAGGAACATTTCTCCAATGTGAGATCAATAAAGTTCAATCATTTTTTTTTATATTATTTTAATAGATACTGAAAAACAAATTCAAAACTAAAATAAATTTCAAAATCAGAAGTCAAAACTAAAAAATAAAAACCAAACCTTTGTCAATACGATAAGCATTCTTTGCACTGTTTCTATTAGCTTTCACAAATGGCTCCACCTTGCAAGAACAATAATGCAGTTCCTATTTAGCTTTTGCACATTAACTGACAAAGCATTTAGAGCTCTTGTGTAGCTCTCTTTGTAAAGACAGATGGCGCTGTTGTAAAGGAATTGGACCCACCACCATCAGAGCATTGAGCTCATCTCTGCACTATGCTCTCACCCACACACACACCTTCCTGTCCCATCTTTCCCTGCCCGCGTTCCCTCTTCGCTCCAACAGATTGTCCGCCGAAGACTCAGACCCTGCCAAAAGCCATTAATGCTCACATCTCTGTTCAAGACTGACATTTAAGAGCAAGTTCCACCTTCTGCCAGGACGCTGCCTATGAAAAAAACTGTCTCAAGGCTGCAGCAGCATTAATGCTGTGAAGTGAGCTAAAAGGTGATGGAGAGAGGGAGAAAAAGGGCTCTAGCTCTGATGATGCAGTGAAACTTAAGTCTTTTGATCTATGTCCAAACCCTGTTTGCATTGCTCTCCTTTTTCCTCCAGCCGCTGCTGCCGCACCCAAGGCAAAACCATTGTAGTTTTTGTTACAGCCCAAAGAAAAAGTGTCCCTTTGTTGCTCAAGCTATCCCTCTATGGGAATTAGAGTCATTGGGACTCAAAGAGATATCTTTTCTGTGGTTTCTGTTCATTATCTTTTTTATTTTTTACCATTAATGGTTGGTATTTTAGCATGGGTTTCAAGCTCTGACATCAATCGACAATGCTGCAAAGGGGAATGCTCTTCTGCTACACACATACCCCCCTACAGTTCGTGTCGTGCCCTTCTTTCAAGTTGCAGGAAAATGTTTGTGTGTGTGCCAAGATAGAATAGAAAGGGTTGGGTTTGTGTCTGTAGCCCCACTGTCTCTCTGACCTGATGTCGTCTTCCCTGTACCCACCCGCCGCTCATTAATATGCTTTAATTTTCTCTGACCTTTTATTTGGACCTGAGCTTGATTTAATTAAACCCAGAAATACATGCACAAGGAAAAAGAGATGAACCATGCGGGCACTGGGGCAGCAAACAACCCCTGATAAGAGATTGTATATCTATTTGGATGACAAGTATTTATTCCTGCTTAGTGATGTAAAAAGGATTCATCAGGGCTGTTATCGCTCAGCTCAAAGAGATTTCCAGCCTGTGTAATCATACACAATGCGAGACAATATTTGCATAGCCACTTCTAGGTCAACGCCAACTACCTGTTCCTTGGCTTATGTCGTAGCAGGGTGGAAAATAAAAAGGTCCGATCTCAGTGACGGCACTGGGAACTGTAATCCAGTCTTGTTACCAAGCTCTCACATCTGGACTATTTGCATTTTAATACAACTGTCAGATTAGTAGGGCACTGTTTGTGTGAAACCACGGGAGTGTGACCGCCTAGGGGGTTTGATGGGGCTTCATGAATGTTCCGTCATGCCGCACGATCCCATTCTGCTGCCTTACGGCACCATTACCAGCCAAAATCAGCCCCTAATTAGGTGTTGTTATTTAATTAAGATGGCCCCGTGCGTGGTGCATACATTAATCAAGGATAATTTGGATAAAAGCGGGACGTAAAGTGTGTGAAGGTAGAGGGAGGGGAGCTGGGAATTTTGAGTGGATCTAATGAGGAGTTGGGAGTAGGGCATTGATGCTTGAAGTATTGCTCTGTTAAAACTTTTAAATAGATCGTTTCTTGTCTGCTCTGGATAACTCCTTTGGCCTCTTTATTTATAAAAAAAAAAGAGAATTAAACTATAAATTCAGCTGAGACAGTAACATGCTGTAAAAAGAAAAAAAAAATCAAGATTTGAGCAACATTATTACTAACTAGGAATCATATTTTCTTTCATAAATTCCAAAACTGTAGTTGTCTGGAGTTGAATACATGAAAATAATTTTTAATAATACTTACAATGCATGTTTTATGCTTGTCTAATTCAAAAATGATTTTGGCGTCGGCAGACATCGAAAATTTTCATTTTTTGTTGTTGTAGTTTTTTTTTTGTGTTTGCAATTAGAATACAATTTTCTTAAATCTTAGATTTTGTTTTGCAGAATCTTTGTTTAGTGAAGAATTATCCAGTTTAGCTATGAAAGTCAAGGGCTTAAAACTACACTACTCAAAAAAATTAAAGGAACACTTTGTAATCAGAGTATAGCATCAAGTTAATTAAATGTCTGGGATATTGATTTGGTCAGGTAAGTAGCACAGGGGGTTGTTAATCAGTTTCAGCTTCTTTGGCGTTAATGAAATTAACTACAGGTGCACTAGAGGGGCAACAACGAGACGACCATCAAAACAGGAATGCTTTACAGGTGGAGGCCACTGACATTTT